GGATGAAAAATGTGGTTTATAAAATTACTGCGAGAGCTTTCTTGTCCATTGTCACGACTTGACCTTCTGTTCTCTGTGCTAATCATAGCCGTTAATGCGCAGAGGATTAACCCAGCTACTGAGATAGGCAGATGGGGTCCTGAAACATCCACATCATTGAAGAGACATATGCCTTGACATTTTACTAGATTGGTTTATAAATGCATTTGTTTATTACTGAAATTGTTGCCATATTATTTGGGTCTATCGGTAAAGTCACGTAGATAGGTTATTTTCTTTGAACTTATCTACGTGACTTTACCGAAAGACCCAAGGAATATGAATTCCTGCAGTCACGAAAGATTTGAAATTGTTACCATTTACATTTCATATCTTAATAAAAATAACAATAATGTACGGCCATTTGTACATTCACTCGCTGATTTAATGCCTCCCTCTCAACCATGTGGAGGTTGTTTGGACATACCAAATGTGTTATTGCGGGTTGGTGAGGTGGTAGTGGTGGAGGGTCAAGGAGGGCAAAACCAATTCAGATATCACTCACCGCCACTGATCTTAGCCCTGGCTAACAATTCAATTTTGGTTGCTGGATTCAGAGCGCGTGGTGAAAAGTGTTAACCACTGCGCCACCACTCTCCTCTTCGTCTTCCCATTTGTGTCCGAGGAGCCACACCGTGGCCTGGCAGAAGGTGGCACAGCAAAAAAACTTAAAACTCTACCTGTTCCATCTGAGTGGGATAGAGTGTTTCCCCCTCGCATGCGTGGGTTCTTTTTTTTCCAGGTTGCTCCGGTTTTCTCCAACATGTAAACACTCGTTAACTGGCTGATGACAACTTAACATCTGGAAGAGAGGATCGCAGATCTTGGAGAGGTGGGGTGGTGGTGGAAATTGTACATCTGCTCACTGCCTGGCTGTCTCTCTACAAGTTGAAATCATGATTAAGACAAGACTGGGGGTGTGGGCGGGGTGGGACCTTGCAACACAACGTCGCGTAACCACGCGGACACCCAGTGCAGTGATTATTGTGCCCGGTGTGATCGTCATCTGCTAGAGATGTTTACGTGCTCGACTTTTCCACAAATCCCCTTACGCCTTAGTGCCCCCAGTGCTTGGGATATGCGACGTTGGTTCTGTAAAATCCCCAAACTCGTGTGGTTTGTGTTGTTGTTGATCCTCCTCAGCCGCGGAATATTGCGTGTCCACGTGGGCTGATAGCAAACAAAGACAAAGATCCCCCGTATAGCCTTGATAGACTGTTGGGGCAATTGCTGTTGGCAAACACCTATAGGAGATGTTAACTACCTCGTCTGGTACGCAGGAGGTCGCGGGTTCGATCCCGACCCTGACGACTGCTGTATATTTGGAGGTTGCATGTCTTTCTCTCATCATCATCACGGTGGCAAGGAGATGTTAACTACCTCGCCTGGTATACAGAAGGTCGTGGGCTCGATCCCGACCCTGACGCCTGCTGCTGTATATTTGGAGTTTGTGTGTCTCTCTCTCATCATCATCACAGTGGCTAGATGTTAACTACCTCGCCTGTCGTACAGGAGGTCGTGGGTTCGTTACCGACCCGGACGCCTGCTGTATATTTGGAGTTTGCATGTCTCTCTCATTTTCCTGCGGGTGGGTCCTCCGCTCTTTCCCTCCACGTGATAAGCCCCGCTTCCTCGAGCTATCATTTGTGGACAGGTCGCATCTGAAAAGAGCTGTATAGCTCAGTGGGGCTTGCGTGCTAAAATAAGAAAATAGTTTCTAGTTTAAATGTTTTTTTTTTTACTGAAAGAAAGCCCCGATAAGCCACTGTGGGGGAACACATCCAACGCATGGAAGGAAGGGGGAGTAAGATTATGCGACTGTGCGGAACACTCCGTGAACTGCTTGCTGCCCTCTCGAGATTCTTCTCTGGGCAAAGAAGCGCACGGAGACCGCCGAGTGGGATGATGTACTTGGACCGTACGCTCGCGAAAGTGTTGATGTTCTCGTCGCCAATGTGGCAACACAATATTAAAAAAGACCTGCTTTCTGTGGGAACATGTTCACAATACGCACACAACCACACACACAACCCACAGGCTCAGCAGCTCGATTGGGCGGTCAACTCACGAGGCAGGCGCCGTGAGCGCAGCGGCTGATTATATCACCTATGTAACACAAATTTTTTTCCATTGGAACCTCATTTGCCAGTAAAAAATATGATAATTGTTTTTTTACCCTTCTATCTGGCAACAAAACTGACACCTTTTTTACAAGGAGTCATGTTTGCATAGACCACAATACCTGCAGCCATAATGCAAACAAAAAACATAACTCTGATAATATATGCACTGCCCTTGAAGTTGATTGGTCCACACCTGAGACAGCTTTCCTTAGAGCCTAGTCTTCACATGGTTTTGGCGTCATCTGGTCCAACCCATGTGAGACTATGCTCTAAGGAAAGCTGTCTCGGGTGTGGACCAATCAACTTCAAGGACAGTGCATACATTATCAGAGTTATGTTTTTGTTTGCATTATGGCTGCAGGTATTGTGGTCTATGCAAACATGACTCCTTGTAAAAAAGGTGTCAGTTTTGTTGCCAGATAGAAGGGTAAAAAAACAATGATCACAATTTTTGTTACACGGAGAATTATAATCGCCGCTGTACACCGACCACACTGCCACACCGCGCGTGGCGGAGTGCTGCTCGCGTGCAGAGGTTTGATCAATGACGCCCCCTGGCGTGAACGCAGCCGGCTCATATTCCAGCGCACGTTGATAGCGATGCTAAATGCCAACCAATGTCGAAGTCTGTCTGAGCTGTCACCCCGCATTCTTGTGCAGGGAAATTGAGTTTTCAGGTCCATACGGCGTGCAGCCGTTTGCAAGACGGGAACAACAACAACAACACATCTATTTGTTTGTGTTTCTCCCTTGTGATGGGACTTTGTAGGATGAACGCAGAGATTGATAACGGGCACGGGGTGACCAATAATGTCTGGATTGGTCTGTAATAAGGTAGGGCACTGACAAGGGGTTGACAGGTTTGTTATTGCCACGAAAGGAGGGCTTCGTGTAGTTTTGCTCTTCCCCCAGAGGTTGGTTGCGTTGCATGGCCAACAATCACACAACCGTGGCTTGTCTGTAATGTATCTACGCATCTCTATGTATCTGTCTCTCTACGGACCTCTACGTTTATCTTTGTGTCTCGATGTATAAACCATGAGTGTGTCGCTGTGCGTTTACACGATGGTCCATAGTTTGTATCGCACCATACCGTGTCTTGTCTTTAATTTTGAATTTTGAAGATGTGCGCATTGGCCCGTTGATGTTCTGATGCGGATGATTGCTCCAGCAGTGTCTGCGAGGAGGAGGAATCAAACGCAAGAGGCGAGCGAGTGTGTTTGGCTTTAATGCCGGACGCACAACCGATGGGGCGAGTCCTTGCCACCGTGTCGAGTTGCAATTCACACAATTGGGATTAATTGGTTAAAGTTCACGATCGTGATACTGATCCCAAGTGTTTACTCTAAGCAACTTGCTTCAAGTGCAAACGCTTAAGCTTAAATTAACCCATTTAACACACGTGTGTGTGCGTGCAGTACACGGGTTCTCGATTGCAGCCCCAAGCAAATTCTCAGTTGGGCGCCTTTGTTCAGATGCTATGCATGCACTGCATGTAACACAGACCACGATTCTTGCACGTGGAAATGTTCAAATATATATTGTCTCACAACCCGGCCGAGAGGGAATCATTTCAGCAGCATTCATTCAGTACAAGCTTTCAGCGTCCGGTGTCTCATCAGCAGTCAGGCCTGCTTTAAACGTAACAAGTCCAGTTTTCTTGGACTGCATCAATGCTGCGGAGACTATTCCCTCCCACAAGGCCATGAGGCCGATGGGCTGTGTAACACGGGACTTTTATCCTTTGTGGAAAGACAACATATTCGGAGGCATTAATCGTCTATTTTAATTTATATTCTCCACAATGCTACCGATTTACTTTGACCACCCTGGGGAATATTGTTGCCACGATATTGGTGACGCTACAATAATACATCTTATATAAGCTCAAAATAAATCATACTCATTTAGCAAAATATCGTTATAAAATCTCCCTGCACGCCAAGATAAAATGGTCCAAGTTTCTTGAGTACTCCCTGTCTGTCCACCCAGCGGCATGAGTACACCACAGCCAGCAATCGTGTGGTGTGGTAAAGTGTGGGTACTCACACCTCTCCAAAGACGTCTTGGCCAGCGTGGCAGAGCTGCAGCGGCCAAATACCGGATAGAGGGAGCGGCTCTACGTGGAATCCCTGCCACCAGCTGTGGCAGAGGCGAGATGTTAATGCCCTCACCTCGTATACAGGTTGTGGGTTCAATCCCAACCCTGACACATGGTGTATATTTGGAGTTTGCATGTCTCTCTCCGTGGTCACGTGGATTTTTCTTCAGATCCTCCGGTTTTTTTCCTCCACATTTAGAATCAACATCAAGTGTTTTAGAGTATTTGGCTGTTATAAATGACCACGTGATAAGCCACTTCGTTTAGCCATCATGTGATGGCCAGGCCGTTTCTGAAAAAGAGCCACGTAGCTCGGTGGGCCTCACCTGGTAAAACAAAATAGTTTATAAAGTTAGTTTATAGTATATAGGCAAGCAATTGCAGGGCTGCATCTTTACTTTTAAATAACCACAGAGGTGGCGGTGGGGGGGTGGAGGTTGCAGCCAGTCGTGAAATGGAAGGAGACCCCCGGGTTCACTGCGTTGTGACACGGAACACTCCAGGCCGACCGTTGCTGCAACGCCGCCTTAACGGAGCCGCCTGCCGATGGAATATTCATCTCCGTGTGGTCCTGGTGGGGTGGGGGGCTCTCGAGGACACGCCAGGGGGGGTGGGGAGGGTTGTCAGCGCCCCGGCCCAGGTGCCCGGCTAAAGCCCGGATTGACTGATATCTCGTTCAAAGTCCGTTTAGCCAATCTGCCGTCATAAGTGTTCACCGTATCGCGACAGACGAATGGTGTGGTTTTTTTCTTTCTGTTTTTAATAGGATGATCATACTCTGGGCGACAGTAATCCACAACAATAATGTGAGAATAATGTAATATATATTTACAACAAATGATGTTTGATAAGACTGCATGAGTTAAAAAGTTGTTTTAACAATATTGATATAAGCAGCATGGGTGTTCTTGCATGTGTCGATGGTCACAAAGCTAATTGAACAATTTGCTCAATCGTCCTCATCTCAAACTAAACTTTATGGACAACGGAGTCTTGTGGGATATCAAGTGGTTGTTATATTTTTTTATTTGACACCCTCCCTGCCCACCTAATTTTAACTATTTGGAGAAGTAAACATTTCCACACAATATGGGCATTGTGCACCGAGCATTGGCAACGCAGCTCGCTTTGACCAACGCGTCACCAACCAACGAGGCCATGCCGTTACAAACTAATCCCTCTCGGGCGGGGGGGGGGCTCTAAACAGAATCCCTGCTCGCTTGGAGCGCGACGCTTTAGACGAGGCAACGGAGAGGGGTGGTGGGTGAAGCGGACACGGGAAACGCCGTGGAGAAGCCTCCACACTCCCAGACTTGTAGGGCCACCGACGAGCTGATGGCGGTCAGGTCCTTGTCAGGATTTGCCGCCTTGATTCTCTTGGTATGGCTGAAAGCCCTCCGTCTCCAGCTTCTCCTTGAATTTCAGGTAATCCCTCCTGCGGTCAAAATACTTGGTCTGTGACAGAAGGGAATCGGCGGGGGGGGCGAGGGAGCGGGGAGCAGATGCGTTATTACACAGGTGCACTTTGCCAGGGTTTAATTCTTAGGGGTATTTTTTTCTCTCTCTCTCTCTCGTGTTTTTTGTTTTTGGGCCCCGCAGCGAGTTCCCTCGCAGAAATTGTTTTGCCGAGGTTTTTGAAAAGCTCAACAAAGGATGAACTCGGCATGACTCTGTGACGGGGGGGCAGGGGGGGGCGAGATGTCCGGGTGGCACACGGCTTCACGTCGACAAGGACGAGGCCGCAACATCACCAGGGCGCCTTTGCTTTTGTATCGCCGCAATCCGCAGCGAAGCATCGGAGAAAACCATCACCGTAAATAAACACCATCGACACAAATTACGTATGGACTGTGTCGGTAGTTGTCGGGGGCACTGCCGGGTGTTGGTCGAGTGGTGGTGGGTACCGCCACGGCAAACGAGTTTTGTAGTGCGGGTGAGCGTTGGTGAGTGTCAATTTGAGTCCTGGATGTTGAGTGTCGCTGAGTGTGCTCCCACACTCAGTGACACTCAACAGCGATTGGTTGAAATACTGCACCCAAGTGAACAGCTACTTCGTGATTCTACTAACGAATACCCACAGCTGTAGATATCTGCAGTGTACGTCCGACATCACGGAACTCCCTTAATGCAATGCACGTTCGCCTCTGCCATGTGAAAGATCGCAGTGGGCTCTCGGCTGGATCTGAACAAAGAATTCACTCGTTTGTTTTCCCCACTCAAAACAACACTCCGCACGGGGTGCGCACGTGCGGTTTGAGCGCCCGCCGCTCACTCCGTGCCTCCTCTTGCGTGCCGTCACAATATTGCCTTTGTTAACTTGCTATATAGGGACAATGAAACTTTGCCTCAAACAAAAAAAATATCCTGTGCTTGGTCTTGCACAAGGCCTCCGTATGAACTCGGGGGAGTAAACAGGTATAGCTTTACCGGCGGAGGTGAGACACTGAACCAGCTGGAATGCCAGCGGGCCGAGTTCAAAAGACGTCCGCTAAGACGGCTGTTGTTGAGTATGGCCTGGGTTAATCCTGGCCCTCAGGCAAACTGCACAGCGCTACAATTAGTTCACGATAAGAACCCCAAAAAATCATTAGTAACACTACTATAAAGATAAAGGGACATCCCCTGCTATTGCTTGCTTACTACAACACTGCTGGCGGAAGGGCCGCCACTAGAGGGAGCTCTAAAGCCCCTCTAGTGGGTATTTTGGCAAGTAATGCTTCCATAACTACTCAATAACGACACCGTAATCGTGAAATTACAAAACATCCCAATGTGGGACACTCCTGTAGGGTGGAAATGCTTTCCCGGGCAAGTAACTTACACGCTCATTATTTTACGTTTATTGACAAGCTGTGTTTACAATCAACATCAGTTCACATCAGATGTGAAGTGAATTGACCTGATCTGAACTGGATCTATGTCAAGCAGAGTCATGCTCATTGACATATTTCAAAAATAAACACGGATTCCTCATTTCGAAAATCCCCATTTAGCCTCCCATAGGTCGACCCAGCCTGAACTGATTTACCAAGTAAAGGTGCGATGCGTAAACATCGCCACTCGGGAGACAAAGGTGGCCGGGCGCGGCGCTGGCCACCCACGCACTTCCTGTGCCGTGCCGGCCTTCACAGGTGCTACTCCTCGCTAACAGCACTTGCCCCAACAGTCTGTTAAGGCTCCACGGGGGATGTTTGTCTTTGTGTGTGTGCGCGCGAAGGCAGAGAGCAGCACACACCCACTGCCGAGGGCAGGCCTCCACGAACTCCTTGCGCAGGGCGGCGCATTCCGACTCGGGGTTGCGCCCAGCCGCTTCGCTCGCGTCCGCGCACTTCCAGAAGGCGTCGCGGCCCGACCAGCAGCGGCGCCGTTCCTCGCCCGACGGGGCCGCCATCCCCGGCTCCCTGCAACCTGTCCCACGGCTGCAGCACGCAGCGCAGAGGCAGGGGGCATTGCTCGCAAGGAAACGGCACACTGACCCAGCACCTCTGATTAGCAAGTTTGGCTACGGACGGTGCGAAAGAGGTTCAACATGCATAAAACACGAGACGCTGACCAATGGAGATTATAAGCAGAGCAATGACCACAAGAGAACACCACCAGCCAATACAAGACACTGACCACAAGGGAACAGCACACTGACCAACACAGGAGAGAGCATTTTTTTCCCCTCCTGATGACGACTGCTTGCGTTGCGATCGAAAGTCTTTTTTTTTCTTACTTTTTTTTTACCTATCTACATGACTTTACCGAAAGACCCAAAGAATATAACAGTGGAGAGCATATGTGCACTGCATCAACTATAACATCACAGCCATTGGATCACTGACCATCAAATGAGCACTGAAATCCAGAGCAAATGCACGAGCATGAGAGTGACCAACATCCACAGCACTGAGCGCATCTAAGCGTCGCGCTGACCACGAGAGAATGGTGTTGACCAACGCAGCACGGACTATGTGAGTACGGCACCAGCCCAAACCTCACAGCATTGGCCAACAAAATGAGCACTTGCAAACATACTGAGAGCAGTGACCAGTGGCAAGTAACCACAGCATTGGCCATACAAGCAAGTCACTGTCCACAAGTGAATGGGATTGGCCAACACAGGACAGACTGGACATATGTGAAAAAGAGCTTTATAGCTCACTGGATTCCTCCAGTATAAATAAAAATTCTGATTCTGACAGACAATATCAGCACGGCCTTGCAAAATAGCGTGGTTGGCACGGGCCCTGGTGCAAGCGAGCTTGATCAGAAACAGAATGAACGCCGCTCCATTCAGTTCCTGAGGAAGCACCCCAGAAAGTGGAGCGAAACGTCGGACATTGCGCGGAACAACACCGCGGGCACGGACCTGCAACCACATCGGCGAGCTCCACATCTCCACCGTCGTGACCTCTGGTAAGCATACCGCGAATTAGCGTCAGGACTTTATGTGAGGATGTACTTAACAGGTTTGATGAGAAGACCGTGTACATATACGCGATACGTTTTGCACATACGGCAATTTCATGCAGATTAGCGCCCACTCTCGAGGGGATGTCAACTGCTTCCTGATTATAATTCACCCTGACCTGTCTCTCGCCGACCTGTGTTCACATTGCGCATGCGCGGACGTGACGATTAGCTGTGCCCGTATTCTAGCAGTCTGCACAGGTGGGTAACACGCATGTCACCCCCCACCCCCTCCTTCACCTACTGTGCAAGTGTATTGTTGACTTTAACAGCCCTGATTAAACTGCCACGACCTGCTGAAAACATGAAAATGTTAACATCCCCAATACACAACGGATCACACTCCCCCTCTCACTGAGAGCCTCCACGACTAACATTACCCCTCATTAGCATCGTGTTTCAACAGAATAAGATATAAGCAAACGCATGGATTGTTACACTTTCCAGCATGTGCTTGTCTTTCCAAGTATTTACTGATGACTATGGAAGCAATACGCACTTGCTTGTCTGTTTTCAAATAGTCCTTTTTTGGCTCTGGTTTGTTCCATATCTGGCCAGGTCACCGAGTGATAAGCCCATCATCCCACCAGGGTCGATAAATCAGGCACCAATTTGTGGTTGTGGAATGGAAAAAGACCCACCCCCACCATAGGAAAATTTGGAATGGCCACCAATGGCTCTGCAGGACAGCAAACAGGAGATTAACACCACCACAGTGCCAATTCGAGCAGGATATCACTCAATATCCTTACGTTTTTTTGGCGGACATTTCAATGACACAATATTAAAATGCTGCACCATAATTGGCCATTATCAATCCACCGCTGAATGAATGTCTCTCCAAGTAGTCAATCCTGAGATCTAGCTAAATTGCAGCAATCCTCTGGGAGAGTGATATGGGAGTGTAACCTCACCATGCCCGCTCAATGTGTGTTGAAGATCCAGTACTCGTCGGACATGGGGAACACGCAAAACGCACAATTACACAAAATGATGGTTCATATTCTTAGGTTTTTTCGGTAAAGTCACGTAGGTAAAAACATTAAAAAGTAAAATAAAATAAAAAATCACGACGTTTCGGAGGCAACACAAGCTTCCGTCTTCAGGTGGTACCGTCACAGCCACGACAGCTGTATCAAGTAAATGAGAGATTGCAGGAGTTACCACTCCGTTTATATAATGGTTGGAGAATACATAAAGCAACAAGATATTTAAACGGACAATGTCCCCTTCATGTACGTCTTTCGACGTACAAAATAAAATTCGAAGATTTGTTTTGTTGCAGAACCACAGCCTTCTGGGGGGTGTATTATTTCAGCTGAATTGATTCAATACGAGCAAACTCACATTCAGGTCACCACAGCCACCTCCGAGTTTGCAAGACAAAATACTGTATTCCATGTCAAAGTTAAAAATAGTGTTTAGCTTTGGTATGAAAACCCCGAGTATGACTCTACATCTCCTCTACTTCCAATTCCTCTCTCTGTGCCGTCTCCTTTGTCAACATCCGTCGGCGATCATGACCATGACGTTGCATGTATACTTGTTGTTAATCAAGTCATCTGCCATCGTGGGATGACAACAGAATATACTGGACTACCTATGTCATAAACACAATGCCTTGAAATCATTAAATAAAAAACATACATTTAAGAGAAATAACCCCCTTTTCCGAGCCTGTGAAGGGAAGATGGATGATTGTGAAAATAGAATAAGTATTTTAGAATATTACGTTTTGAAGGGGTCTAAACAATGGTTACACTGTGACCACATTTTCATAAAATAGTCGACCAAATGTTCGTCAAATCACGCGGCTGCCTTGGGCTCCGCTTACCTGTTAGATGTCCTATTCACTTTCCGCGCTTTTAGATTTTGAAATATAAAGGGCCACTCTTTGTTTAGCTTTGGTATAGGTTTAGGGTTTGGGCTTAAGATTTAGGGCTTCATAGTTACGGGACAGTTGTACCAAATATTACTACTTCACCTACCACGCATGTGCAGGGCCATTAGTTTAACATGTAGGCTTTCGCGACCAATATAATCCACAATACAGGTTTTTTTGGGGGGTAGATCGCGTAAATATGAATGGAAAAAAAAAACAGGAGTATTTCTCCACATATCTGGTTGTCCGCTTGATGATGTTGGTTGTAATTACTGTCGAAATGTCATACTCAGATTGTGTATGTTGTGGATTTGCTCTCCAACACGCAGATGTGCTGTACTCGTAACGAATTGGTATGTTCTGTTACGTGAGCAAACCTTACTAATTGGCTATGTCAGGTGGTGGTGGGTTTAAAGACACATTCATATTTACACGATCTAACCCAAAAAAAACCTTTATAAGGGGCCATTAGTCTCGGCGTATTGTAAAAGTTTCATGGAATACAACATTTGGGGTAAAACTCTTAATATAACCGTCGCATCCTATAATCCGCGCAAGTGTGGGAAAATCTCGTTTGTTTAAATTACGTCTGCCGGCTTTATTCATTAAAATCAGCAAATTCTAAAATAGGCAAAGCTGATCCACGGATAATTGGATTAATCACGGAATCGGCTCGATCCTGCTGCGGATAAAAGGGATAAGATAAGGGTGGATAAGAGGAAGTTTTTTACTTCACACGGGTCTTATGGGCACCACCGTTTAACGCGTTTGTCACGGGAGGGTTTTTTTTCCTTTACAAATTCTGCTCTGCAAAAGAACCACTTGTAGAAAAAGTTAGAACTTTATAACGATTTCGTGTGGTGCACTGCCTCCCCTTTGTCAATCCACCACCCACTGCTGGATGAAGTCCTCCCCACTCCTTTCGGTCATGGGGGTTGTGTGACCATATTTCACCCACACTGCTCAATACGGATTGGTGAAGAGGGGGGGGGTGCCCAGGACTACTTGAGATATCTTTCACGTCGGTGAAATAGATTTCGACGACCGCTTACATATCCCCTGTCCACCCACGGCATAGCCACTGGCATAACCTCTGGAGTAACCACCAAACGAGCATCTCCTAACATGGATGGACAATTAAAGACAATCCACAGTGGTGAGATTGTGGTCATGCCACCCAAACTATGGGACATATCGTAAACCCGCAGAGACGCATACAGATACACAGACTTGCATATTAAAGACAAGCCACGATAGTACGATTGCGGTCACGATATGCAAACTACGGACACACAAAGTAAACCCCTGTATAAACACGCAGGCTTTCGCGACCGATATTACCCTTAAGGTGTTTTGGGTTAGATCGTGTAAATATAAATGTGTCGTTAAACCCGCCACCACCCGACACCCCGGTGTGCTAAACTAATAACCAATTGGCATGTTCTGTTCACGTGACAACCCTTACTAAATTGGCTGTTGGGTGGTGGAGGGTTTAACGACACATTTATATTTACGCGATCTAACCCAAAAAACTTCGATTATGGATAAATCTCACTGCAAGTCTGCACTCGTTCAACGGAGGAACAGCGGAACGACGCAAATGTGTCTCTCTGCTGAAGCACTCTCGTGTCGGCCAGCGTCAGACCTCGACATGATTGCCATCTGGCTCCTGAACACCTGAAGACGGAAGCTTGTGTTGCCTCCGAAACGTCGTGATTTTTATTTTTTATTAATTTTAATGTTTTACCTACGTGACTTTACCGAAAAAAAACCTAACACTATCAATCCTGAACATTTGTTTCGCTGCCATCCCAAACAAGCAGAGAAGTTGTGTCTGGTGACATGGACGTTCGTGATTTGGTAGCTGGAGGTTTACCCATTTAGCCACAAGTCGCCGGCCTATCGCGGGTTCATCCGATAAATGTGCGGTGTGTGGTGAAGGTGGAGCGGTGGCGCAATGGTTAACGCACTTACGTGCCGGCCCCGGCAAACCCGGCTTGGAATCTCGGCTCTACTGATACAATACAGTACCACCATTGGCGAGGGACATCTAAACTGCTCCTGTGCGCATCCCTTAAATCTGTGAAAATTAGCGCTGTAGCTCATAGACTCTCTCCAGTATAAATATTCATATTAATCGCCTATGTACCAGCGTGGCGAAGTATGGTCACTCCCCCGCCCGCCGCCGCCTTCCCCAAAATGACCAACAACGCCGGGTGGCCTTCATCCAGCAGTGGATTTACAACGAGGCTGTTGTCACCGTTCAAAGCTCTTCTTGCCGATGATGGCAGCAGCAGAGGCAGCGGTAATTACGTTCCAGAAGGCAGATACCGATGATGTCTCTCGCTGCTGGCCGCCACGGACGAGGCGGGCTTTACGAGATAGAGAGAGACAGAGTTCGCGATCGTGAGTTCGGTGTCGTTTCGCTGTCCCTTCGAAGGCTCCCTCGGGCCGAAGGAACGCGGACGGAAAGTGTCTCGAACGTGACGACGACGACGCAGATCGCCAGGAGCCCGAAATCGACAGGAGAGAGACGCCTTACCAACACAAACCCTTCCCGGCAGCTCGCAGCGTCGCGCCTCAGAAATCCGTCAGGTATCGGGGTTGTTGTTGTTGTTTTTAAAAACGTAGTGAAGTTGAAACTTTTTTAAACCGGCGATAATTAAACTGTACAGTGCGTTAGCGTACAGTGCGTTAGGCTACGCACGTGCCGTTGTTGTGACCTTGCCGATCGCGCCGACGGCGGCCGTAAAGCCGGTCCACCACCACGACCGGCGTCCGGAGTCGTAAAGTGTCGCGAAACGCCGCGTGCGGTGGCAGGCCGATCACGTGGCTTGTGCGCCCTCTGCCGGGCAGAGTTGGATCATCATCAACCACCACCACCACCACCAACCACCACCAGCACCACCACCAGCACCACCAGCACCACCAGCACCACCACCAACCACCACCAACCACCACCACCAACCACCACAACCACCACCAACCACCACCAGCACCACCCACCACCACCAACCACCAACCACCACCCACCAACCACCACAACCACCACCACAACCACCACCAACCACCAACCATCACCACCAACCACCACCACCACCACCAACCACCACCAACCACCACCAGCACCACCACCACCACCAACCACCACCACCAACCACCACGCTAATTCAATTTATTTCGCAGGGGGCTGGTGTTTGATGCCAGAGCGACGGCTACAATTCCACATTCAGGTTGTCAAGCCCAGACAACCGCGTCCAGGAGCAGCGGAGTGTTTGATCATCGCTGCGATGTCTCATTGGTGTCTGTGGATCGGGGCATTGCGTTGCGTCGTTATGCGATGTTGCGGTCCGGTTTTTCATTTTCCGTTTGTGCGTCAGGGTATTCGCATCTGCCATGGTTTGTGCAGTGGATGCGGTTTAGGGTGGACCATGAGCTTCGTGGAAGAACAAACGCAGGGATGTTAAGCTACGAAACTACTTTTACTTTTAAACTACTTTTATTTTACCAGGTAAGGGCCACTGAGCTGCGTATAAAAATTCATCGAGGGTGGCAGTGCCCATGAGTTACATCAGAAGATGATTCCAGGATAAAGCCCCATTATCTAAGAATCGTGTTTAACAAGTAGGCTTTCACGACCAATAGTATCCGTAATAAAGGTGTGTTTTTTGGGGTTAGGTCGCGTATATATATGTGTCGTTAAACCCGCCACCACCAGATACAGCCAAATTAATAAGGTTCGTCACGTATATATAGACGTGTCAATTAGTTACTAGTTCAGCAGAGCAGCATTAGTGTCAGAATCAGAATCAGAAACGGTTTTAATCGCCATGTAAGTTTGCACAAACAAGGAATTCACTATGGCGGGACGGTGCATACATTGAACAAGTAGGAATCTTAACTTATATAAAAGGTATACACTCTAACTATACTAACGTTAAAAAGTATAAGTAATACCAAAGGGCTAAAATCTTTAAAATTATGAATAAGTAGACCTTATAAAATGCGAATGTAAAATGTTAATTAGCCGTATTAAGCAATCTTAAAATACAAAAATACAAATAAGATTACACGTTGTAAGTATGGAACACGTGTATGTATGTTGAACTCCACTACTTCAGTGCAGAATTAAGTACAGTACACGTCTTAAAATACCCGGTATACCAAACTGATCTAAAAAAAATAACTACAGCATTTCCACACTGATCGCTCCAGGGCTTCACAGCCTTGAATGTTCTAAAAAGTTAATGACTTGGGAAAAATGTTGGACCGAAAAAATAAACTGCCTGCAGTCATTAATGAATACAATCAAAACATCTCCTGTCTGGATTTCCAAGAGAGGAAAAAATATCAGTCCAATTTCACGTTCAGCTGTCAGAGAAACTTGTGTTTGCACTGAGATATCACAGCTCTCCCTCGGATTTCCAATGAAATCAACTGCGTATCGTTGCTTAAAATGATTTCCATGCCCTCTGCGTGCGATGTCGGTTACAGAACTCAAGCTGTGTGCGCTCATAGTCTAGACTTTTATAAACGTTACCCACTGTGACGCGTTTATGTTCATGCTTGCTGTGACAACGAAACACACCACAAGGTTATTGTTACTGGTGTCACGGTGCATCAATTGTCTTTCCGACAGACCAGTTCTTCACCTGAGGACGGCTGCTTGCGTTGTGGCCGAAACGTCGTGAGAATTATTTTATTATGTTTTATTTTTATTATTTTATTACTTCCCTTCTACGGGACTTTACCGAAAGAACCAAGAAGATGAATCCCTGCAGTCACGAAATTGAGTCTTATGTTCACGATACACGCACCTAATCGCGTGTGGAAGAAGCTTGTTTCAATTCGTGCGATGAATGAATTCGAGTCATTCCTGCAGCCACTAGTCGCCGCTCCTTCACAATGTAACGAATAATAATCGATTCTTGTGTCGAATTGCGACGATTATTTTGGGGGTGGGGAGGGGGAGAAGAACGGTGAATCTCAGAGGTGACTCTGTGATATCTGCTTCCGCGAAGCAATCTCTAACACACAGGGACTCATGATGCACGCGGTGAAAGATGGAGAAAAATATAAAAACAACCGCCCTCCAGTAATTATATTCCTGCGACAATACTTAGCCTATTCGCCACTACCTAATACAAGTGCGAGTTGGAGTTTGACTCGGTTAAACACCTTCCTTGCCTTCGTGTCTTACTCACCACAGGAGCCAGTTAGGGGGGGGGGGGCACATACAGCAGCAGCAGGCGAAGAAGCGCAGTGAATTGTTAATCGTCAAGTTGGGTTGTTACGCTGGCACACATCGGCGGCGGCATATACAGACGCAGAGCTGCGAAGCCTCTGCGTTGTTATTCCACACGCGCACAAATTAACGAGCAATGACACTGAGCTCAGGTGTGGATTTGACCCCTGGCTGGGGTCTCCATTAGCAGTGTGCAGGTGTGGTGGTGGTAATGAATTCCGTAAAATTATCCTGCCATTATGACAATGTACGGTGTGTCAATATATATTTTTATGACCTGCAAAACTGTATAAGTTGAAAGACGCAGCAGCACTTTAATTCGAGGCCGCAGCCATGGAGTCAACATTGGGGGGGACCAAATCTTCCAGGGATTCTGGGGGTCTTCCCCCAGGAAAAAAGAAATCTAAATTTGAAATCTCATTTCCTGCCTAAAATATTACAAAATTCACTAACACATAGGATGGACTTTTTTTTTTACAATAATGTCAAATAGTGTATTGTATTTATTACATTGCTCTGTTTTTTTACCTTTTCTTGTTTCATTGTATGTAATGGCAGAGATTATGAATTCATAAAGTACAACCATAACCACAATCATATAAACAGAAATCTATTTTCTAGCAATATATTGGGGGGGACATTTTGAGCATATTTGAATATTGGGGGGGGGGTGTGCACCCCCCTCCAATGTTATAATTACGGCCTTGCTTTAATTACGCGCATGTATAAAAACAAAGTCTGTATGTTAAAATGTCAAATACACTGCAGTGTGTACAGGAGAACTTTTCGGTGAGAGTGGGGACGAACATGATTTGCGTGAATTTCTGCCACTCATTTGCAGAAAAAGAATTATGGATTAGTGCAGATAATGCGATAAATTTGCCACGTGACTCGACTTGTCTGCAAAAAAAAACAGACAATAGAAAGCTGGCCTGCAATGTGTGATGAGAAAATAACACCGATAATAACAGTAAGACGAGGGTTGCAGGAAGAAAAGAGTTAACCTGTAATACTGCAATGTTAGCAATACATTTGAGTTTACCATGCAAAACCTTACCCGCATTCAGGTTGATTTTCATTGCATAATTTGCCTCGTCCATATTTTTGTGAGTGTGTGGGATATTGCCTCCTCTACACACCACCTCCATTTCTATGTGATCCATCAACCACTGCCGTCCAATTCGTGATGACATATCAACATTCGAGACAGCCAAAGGCATCGTCGCCGGTAAGAAACAAAAAGCCAGAGGCCACGATGTCCAATTAACACAGGTCCGTCCGTACGTTTAAACATTCATAAATTTATTTAAATATATTTTACAGTGAGTAAATAATTTACTTAATAACCCATCCTCGTAGCTTAAATCATGCATATTGCACTAACAAGTGCACACATTCCTGAATTAAGTACCCCCAGCATTCGCTATTCAACACACGAGTACAGACGACTCTGTAATTATAATGCAGCCTATATCCTCCTGTCCAGAGGACAACGCAAGTGATGTGTGAATAGCCTTGTTCATGCAATACATTTACATAGGACTGCATGGAGTGTAAGTCATATAGCATGGCTTTGCAAATTCATACATCCAATTACAGTGATATATATATACAAACAATACTGTTTTATACAATCAAATACGTGTAACAATATGAATAATAACGTGAAGATCTTTGTCAAACCACTGCTGGGGGTTATTTGACCATACTTCACCACACTGGTCGCCGTGGATTGGTGAATGGGACGGACTAGAAACTGGTGCAGATGTCACTCACCTTGAAATTAAGTTAGCTGTGGCCTGGAATGTAAATGGGGTCACGAGGTTCATAGCGCAGTACGCTAACCACTGTGCCACTGCTCCCCGATACAATACCGTTTTAACCTTGTTTACAGCATATGTGTATATATATATCAAAATATTTATAATCTGATTAGCTTTAAAGTTCATCTTCTTGGTTCTTTCGGTAAAGTCACGTAGAAGGGAAGTAATAAAATAATAAAAATAAAACATAATAAAATAATTCTCACGACGTTTCGGCCACAACGCAAGCAGCCGTCCTCAGGTGAAAACCAGGTCTGTCGAGGCGACAGCGTCTGAATGAAACAGCACACGTGCTTGGAGCATATATATAAGCTGGGTTGGAAGGGGGGAAAAGGGCGCCTTGACAAAAGAATATGCATATCAAGAGGAATTTAGCATATTTATGGGAAATGCAGGTATGTGATTAGTACCACTTATGCAGATGTCCAGTAGGAGCGGGTCAAAACGTTACAATAATAAGCAATATAAAAACACGATAGGAGTGTAAAGTATAGGAAATAAGCACATCACAAAAAAGAAATACAAATAAAACTAAACTATTTTTTTTATTTAACCTGCTTAAGCCCACTGAGCTTGATAGCTCTTTTTCAGAAGCGACCTGGCCACAAATGATAGCTCAACGAAGTGGCTGATCTTGTGTAAATGTTTCGCAGCCAAAATAATCTAAACGCGTGATGTCGATTCTAAACGAAGAGGGGAAAACCCGGAAAAAATAAATCAGCGTCACCACGGGAAGAACGTGCAAACTCGAAATGTACATGCTTGAGGGTTGGTATCGAACCCACGACCTCCTGCATAAAGCTGCAGCCCTGAAACTACCTGCGCATGCCGCTGCTGGCAGAAACG